GACTTATATCTCATTCCAAGACTCTTCCATTTGCAAACTGAGTATCTGTCATCACTGACCCATTTCATGAGAGCCAGTCATTATAATCCAAATGTATTTATTCCCTAAAACAGAACCATGTGCTAACTTGGTTCGGATCTTGCCACAGTGAGTTAAAAGGTTAAGTCATTCAGGATTTTGTTTCATTAAAGTGTAAGTGTGGGGTGTGTGTGTGTGTGTGTGTGTGTGTATCGGATCTTGCCATAGTGAGTTAAAAGGTTAAATCATTCAGGATTTCGTTTCATTAAAGTGTAAGTGTGGGGTGCGCGTGTGTGTGTGTGTGTGTGTGTGTGTGTAAAATCCATTTAATGAGTGCTTTCCCAATGTCAAAAAAACCCCCAAATTTTATAACATGATATTTATAGAGAGAGTTAATCCAAGACATATGCATGTGTACAGAAAAATAAATTGTCCGAATTGTTCCTGGGCATTAAAAACGGTCACTTTAGATGATAAACCAGTGTTTTGGTTTTCCCCCACACAAAAGCCTCTCAGCCCTTTTCGGATAAGGCTCTGAAAGCACACTGCCCTAACGAGGTCAAGCCTATATAACCCATAAAGAGCCCAGCTGCCCTCTGGCCCCATCTTGGTACTGCTTTATAGTCAAAAACACAGTACATTACTGCCCCCGCCCATCCCTCTCCCCCCAATAAAAAAAAAAATCCAAGAATTCACTGTATTCTTTTATAAAAAGTCCAAGCAGGAGTACATTAAGAAAAGCAAAATTCCTTAAAAAGTCACCTTTCCTCATCTTTCATTTTTAGTATTTCTCGCAAAGCAGCATGTCGAGAATATTTTAACTGAAGAAAATATTTTGTATAGAGGAATGCTCTTGAAGAGTGAGGAATTCTTACTTTTCTCCTATAAACTGAGCCACTCTTTACTTTTATAATCCTTTTATATAACAGGCACTTTCGAAAATACAACTTGAGTTGCATCCCATCGTGAATCACTTGATGCCATATTTAATCTCATGTGAATTAATAAGGAAAATTTGGCAAATTAACTGTTTGCAGTAGGAATGCTTTGTTCCATTTCTTTAAGCAGAGAAAGGAGTGAATCTGAACAAAAGAACCCCGCCTTTGCCTACTGGACTCAGGCACTGTGAAGGCCTCAAAGCCGTGCTGTTACAGCTGAAAACGAGTCAGACACTGAGATATCTCACTATGACCTCTCTAGAACTGTCTAGAGACACCAGAGGCCAGTGGCCTGAGGCTGTCTGTGTGCACGTTGTGTAAGAGCAGCTGCCTGGTCCTGGACTGGACCTCACGGTGTGGCCACCACAGGGCCATCTCTCGTGGACTCCCATCGTGAGTGTCCAAATCTCCTTGGCTGGTAAGCCCCCAACTCCACTACCCTCGCTCTGTGATGACCTCTCTGTGCAACGGTGGGAGCTTCCTTGGCTGTCTGCCCACAGCTAGGCCTGAAAGTAGTCATGGGAGAATAAGAGTTAAGGCTTACACTCTGCTATAGACAAGGAGCACATGAGTTTAGAACTCAGCCTGTTAAGTGTGCTGTTCATTCTTCCCTCTCCTCCCACCAGTGAATTCTGGTCACTGTGTCACTATTTTCCTGGTCACGCACCATACTTCCCATCCCCATCGCCACCATTCAGGTTCAGGATTACTACTTCTCATTTTTCTGGAACACTGGTGCCAGGAAACACAGATCTGCTATAATAATAGGAACACAGCTCTGCTGACATCTCCACTGTCAGTGAGCCTGTGATGGCTACAATTAATGCTGAAGTCCTCTAAGAAGCACCCAAGGGCCTCTCTTCCAACGTCTTTTTTCCGGGTCTTCTCCACTCAGTCCTTTACGGGGACCACACAACCTGTACTATTCCCTAATACCTAAAAGTGCTGCAACTTCCCCACCGCTGTGCCTTCACTCAGGCTGTCCCTTCCCTTAAGTTTCTCTCAGTCCATGAGGATCCTGGCCACCCCAGGAGGTGTGTGTCTCAAATACTCACTCTCCCTCAGCCCCTCCTAACCCTTCCCCTGCCCAACTCCCAGCTTTCTGGGACAGAGTCTGCTCTCCTCTAGCTCCTCCTGACCTAGGCCTGCGGCTGACCTTCCTCTGCCTTGAATTATAAGTAGGCTCTTACTTCCCTATTGGATAAGCCTCCAAGACCATGACACCAAGGCTGAGTCTTCTCCACCTTTCTCCCCCGTGGCTCCCTGGCACAGCACTCAGTAAACATTTGCTGAACTAACCCAAAATAAAGAGGGAACTGTACTGCACAGAACACTTTACCTGGCTAAGTACTCTCCAATGCTGCAAGAACGCCACCTGGTTTCACAACCCCAACCATGCACCGAAGTTAAGGGTAATCCATGCACCTTTCAAGGACACTATGAGTCTCAAGGAAAGGAGCAATAGGCAAAACCATAAGAAACAGAAGGCCTGGCCGTAGATGGAGAAGTCAGGGGAGGTGGGGGAAGATGGTCAGCTGAGAGCAAATGGCTGGAAAGCAAGTGTCCTTCCACCATGTTCCTAAATCCAGCTGTGACCCGTGAATAGAAGAACTGGGCTCCAGTCACGAAACCCCACGCCACCCGGGAGCCTGACACACCCAAACCAAACAAGATCAAATTCTCCAGAAGGAAACTTTAAAACCCCACCATTCCTACAAAGAGCTCTGTGGCTCTTAGTATTAGATGCAGTAAAAACCTAGTAATTTGGAATATAGTCTTAGTTCACAAAATATCTGTGTAGTGAAGATTTTCTAAAGAAATTAAGTCTTATTACTTCAAGTCCTCCCTAATCAAAGAAGAAATAAAGCTACTTCATTTCTTCTTTCTTCTTCTAAGCCAAGGCTGCAGCAAGCATTCAACATGCCCCCCGCAGGGATATGGTTAACAAAGTGAGGGGTCTGGCTGGGTAAGAACCCCGTCTCCCCCTTCCCTCCAGGCGGACCATCAGGCTCGCAGGGAGAGTCCGGGGAGGAGCGGTGTCTGGTGAGCCTGGCTGGTGGTAAACTGGTAGTCTGAAATTGGTTTTGGCCAATTAAGGGATCCTTGAGGGAAGGAAAAAATAAAACCCCCAGTAAATCCAATTTAGCAATCCCAGGCGCTCTCTGCTGATTGTTATTGCTCTCTGTTAGCGGCTCCAAATGATCCACGTATAAAATAAACTCAAAGCCAGAGTGAGTGAGTGAGTGTACCAGATGCTGCAGAGAAGGGAGGAGGAGGGGCTCATTCTGGCTATGTGCACAACGTGACAGGTTTAGAAAGACAGGGGATCCCAGTGTCGGCACTACTGCTGCAGGCTGTCGGGCTGAGGACAGCCAGGGCCAGCAGTCTGGCCAAACCCCCGGGACAATGGCATCTCCTAAGCCATACTAAACCCTGCCTGTGTTGCTGTCCATTCCCTCTGTCCCACTCCCTGACATTGGTCATCGTAGGAAGAGGGACATATGGCCCTTCTCTGGAAAGACATGAGCAGCTGTTAGTAAATGTGGCCAGAAAGGCTGTGGGGGACCCTATCCTAGGCATGTGCGTTGCTGCCCATTTATAGGAGAAAGGAGGAATGAATGCCATAAGGACGCAGCTGCCACTCCTGGCAGCCACTCAGCTACTAGTGGAAATTATTCTGAGCGTGGAATGACAGTCCAAGTGAATAAGGTTTCCCTACTCCTTATGAGACACCTCTTAACATTAGGACTCTTACCTCATCTATTAAAGGATGACTTTCGGCTAAGGGATTAAAAGGTATAAATAAAAAAAGGGCTGGTCCTTTCTTCAGTTCATTATTCA